TTTTTTGAATTGATCAGCATAATTTCTCAGCGATCTAGAAATTTCACGCTTTCGATTACTCCAAGAATATTATAAATATATTCGTGCAACGTCCATACAACAAACTAACGATATCGTCATAGAAAAATTATTATTATTATAGTAAATAAAATGTATTTATATAAATAGGGTTCTCTATGATCCACGAATATGGAGGATGGTCCTATTGCACTTGCAATTTAGTATAATTTAGTTCTCTTTGTTAATATATTTTGTCGAACATTTTATCGCAGATTGGCATTAGATATGTCTCGTGTCTTGTGACCTTTTATGATAACTTACCATCTCAACTCCTTGCATATATGAAACAAAATCTTTTGTACATTTATTTCGATGTCTTCACTGTTGATGCGTTAAATCATTTTTTGCTCGAATCACATTAATATAACCAAATAGTACGAAAACAGTTTATCTATGTGTATAGTTACATTGAATTGAATTAACACGGCACTACAGCATCTGCAATTATATTTTAATACTCACCCGAATGAAGTTAAACATTAGAATAGTTCTTCCAAAAGAGCACGATCTTCAATTTTGATAATTCGGTGATGTTATGAAAGTTGTTACGGAATCCACGGCACAACAGTATTATTCGCAACGAACATTACGCGACATTATGATACAATTTTTTTTATCGTCGATACATTCGTCAAGTTTATCCCTGTACTCGCGCACAAAAAGAAACGTGTTGCGTGGATGTCGAATCCTTCATTCTTGATCGACTCTTAAGTGAATTTCTTCTGATTCGGATTCCGTGAATCGATGTTCCTCTTATATCACGACACGTCGGGACCGGTAACGTTGGTTTTGAAACGGGTATCGCAAATATTTACCCTAGCCGCGCATTTAAATTTAGACCGTCGCCATCATCGGCGAAAGGTGTAGGCGTGTAGTCGTTCGACCGTGCGGATTCCTCGTTTTTAATCTCGGATTAAACGGATTGGACGGATGCGAAATGCACGTAAATTGCATCTGTACTGTTTGTCATAATGTTAAAAATACTTAAGTTCCTTTCAATTTCATACAGCAGTAGACTACGTGGCTAGAGGGGATAACGACGATGATGTTAAACAAGTTCTTCAAGGATTTCCATTACGCAGCTACAAACACGGCAATGTAAAATTGATTAAAATGAAACGTTGCATCGATCCGTTAATGGCTCGTTACTTATTACTGATACGTAATGTTATTAGCGTAGCGGAAACATTTTTATTTCTTCTTCTTCTTCTTCTGTTTTTCTTTAACGTCGCATCGACAGCAGCGTGGTCATTAGATATGTGTCTAGTAGTTTATGTTTTTTGAGATATTTTAATTTACTTTTTGTATGTCATTTTGAGAAGTCAGGTTTATGTTTGCGTTGATTTCTGTCTTTCGGTTTCTGTGGTGTGGCATTCTTCTAAGTTTGAATTTAATAGGATTTCAGTGGAATCATATTTGCCCGAAATCACAATGGCCACTCCTCCGCTGGCGTGGTTTTCGTTTACCCGGTTTTTGACGAAGTTGTTTCTGTGATTTTTTTTTGAAATTTGTTTCTTGAAGGCAGACAATATCAGGGCCGGAATTATTTATGAGAATTTGGAGTTGTTCGTAATGGGTATAGTAACCGTTTATGTTCTTTTATTGTAAGAAGAAGACGAATTTTTATTTCGTTTAGTTTACAGTGAAAACTACAAAATCTTGTCTCTCGTAGTTGCGCGTGTTTTTACATCCGCGTGCGGATTATCCTAAACGGCCACACGTGAATTCCGAAATCCTGAATAATACTAATGATTCTGATCTTCTTTTACAGAAGTCTCTTCAACCAGCAACGACATCGTTTTCGTGGGTGTAGCGCGACTGCTGATGAGACGACCGATCACCAAGATATCAATCATTGACGCGAACAAGGACGAGTATATTACTCGACACTTGGTAGACGGCCGGATCATTTATTGCGACCACAGGGTGTCGGTGGTGGCTGGCTACTTGTCAGAAGAGGTGTCGGGAAAGAGCGCTTTCCGTTTCATGCACAAGGCCGATCGTGTCTGGGCTATGATCGCGCTTCGTGAAAGTGAGTACGAAAGCTATATTTTTCTTTTCGTTGTAATTAACTTGCCTGATACGTTCGAACAATCGATATAATACAATTTACAGTGTACAATCGCGCGGAGACTTGCGGATCATCTTGCTACAGGCTGACGTCGAAAACCGGCGAACCCATTTACTTACGAACACATGGATATCTCGAGGTTGATAAGGACTCGCAAATTGTAGTGTCTCTTGTCTGCATAAATACATTAGTATCGTAAGTATATGCGATATATCTGTCGTTACGCAATCTTTACGTTCCTTTTCGTAAATAACTTCACGTACTATTGCGGCAGGGAAGAAGAGGGCCTCAGGTTAATGAAACAAATGAAGAAAAGATACTCCGCCACGATCTCCGAAACGATGAAAGCGATGATACAGAATGGAGACAATACATCGATGGATTTGGTAATTTGCTTTATCTATTAATGTAACGAGTAATACACAGTTTCAAGATGTTATGAATTTGATGTAATTGTTAAAAGATTATTATACATGTGTCTAATATATATTACATGTACATATATCTATATATATATATATATATATATATATATATATATATATATATATATATATCATATATAATGTATAATCATGCTTGCAGGGCTCAGATTCGGAACATTCGAAAAATGATATCGATGACCCTTCGCAGCTAGAAGACGCAATTACGTATCTAGTTAGCGATCTATCGTCGCCTCTTCCAGAAGAATGCCTCGCCACATCACCTGTTCCTAATGAACAATACGTAAAGGCTGCAATGATATCGCAACATTTACCACCTGCTGTCACTCAAGCCCGGAAACTGGGTATTGAAACGATAGACCATTATTTAATGGTACAGGGAAAGGTAAATCAGAATCAAAAGCAAGAGTCAACAACAGATAACATCAAGCACGAGTCCGAAGAGAGTCAAGAAAACTCGAGATCATCCAGTAAAACGATAACGCTGCATGAAGTAACGAAACAAACGCATAACGTTTATAGCAGTTTGCAAGATAAACAGAGTTTACCACAAACTAACAGTATAATAACGACGAAAGAACCGGTCGTAGAACCACGTATAAGTACCCAACGAGATGTTCGAGCGTCTCATCTTCAGGTTTCTCAAAATGTGAATATTTTGAGTCCTACTGCGACGGTGAAAGACATCGTGAATGTCTCAAATTTGCATAATCTATGCAACATTAAAGTGGAACGTAACATAGATGCTTACACGCATCAGCAAAAACCTATGATGGACCCTCTTGAAAAGGGTGTCAATAATAACGTTACTGCTGATTCAAAAAATCTTCCATTAAAGAGAATATACAGTGACGAAGATATTAAGACAAGTTGTAGTAAGAAAAGACACAGTAATGTTGCTTACTCATCGTCTGACACGAACGATGATCAACAGAACGTTTCATACATCGATTGTAAACCTTTTATCGGTGAAGTATTTTCGGAACCTTCGTCGGACTTCAATTTGTACAGTAATATGAATCCTCAGTCAATGAAACTTGCGGAGTCTCCGAATTCAAGTTTAAACGACGTTGTTGCTGATTACCAACAAATGGATACTAGCATCCCGTTTATACCTCAAAATCTGGATGACAAATTTATCGATTTTCCAGATTTAAAGGACGATCCGCTGAGCCCAAGCCTGGACGCAAATCCAGGTATCGAACTCAGTAAAGTAATCCTGCACACATCTACGAAAAAAGTAAACAAGCAAATTTTATATATTGCAAAATAATGGGTGGTACTTCTTTCCATTTGTCAGATATCAGTTTTAGTATCACATCACCCATGAAATGCCGGGTGAAAAACTTTTTCATAAAATTCTATAATTCTGAGAAACAGATATGCACACTTACATGTTTTAATCTTTCTTTTGTATTTATCTCCTTTGTAGTTCAATCTCAATGATTTCCGTAAACTTTTCAAATTGTATCTTAATGAGTAACAATATACATTTTTTTGCAGATATTATAATGAGAATAATTGATGACCTAAGACATGTACCGATTCTCGAAAGTAAGTACGCAAATACTTGTATCATACGATATTGATACATATAAAGATCGATTGAGACATTAGTTTTTTAATATTTCAGATACTTTCAATGAAACAAAAATCCAACATCTACCTGATAACAATGTAAGTGTAAATTGCTAAGAATATTTAATATAATCCACTCGAAAAAATATTGATTATGATTAATGTTATGATAGATAATCAATGATGAAATAAGAAGAAAGCATCTTCAACTTATGAATAGTATGGCATTACAAGAATCACAGCTCAGTATCTTAACAAGAAATTTGAGAAATCCAGCTTTACAAGCAAAAAGAGAAAGCTTAACACCATTGCAGGTACGGATAAAGAATTTTTAATTATAATCTTTTTAATGCATTTTATTTAAAAAATTAAACACTATCATTTGCCTTGAATTTTAGACAGAGCATAATATACAGAAACAAATTCTCGAAACACTCCAACAAGACCATATGCAAATAAACATAAAACACAATATTGGTGTATAAACGTTTTCAAAAATATCCGAAGCATAGAGTTTCAAAAATACCTCTGATCATAATGAGATATTTCTTTAAGAGAGAAAGAATTATTTCTTCAAGTTGATGATCTTAAAAAATAGATATCCTTGAAAGAAGTATATAACTGGTAAAAATGTACACATCGAATATTCCAATGAAGTTTAGTATAACATATTCATGTACACAATGATAAAATGGAAGAACGTATATTAACAATGCAACAACATAACGAGGCCGATCTGTATTTTACAATTCAACAAAGGAAAGATAATAATATTTATTATCACAGACATTTAGTGAAAATATAGTGTCAATAAGGAAAACTTCAATGTTCTGTGTTCAAATTGAACTAAGAAAAAAGAGTAAGTACGGAACAGACAAACTAATCAAGTTGCATACTTTACGTCGTGTACATGCAGACATTTTAAAACATACTATGGATATTACTCGTCGCCCTAATGTTTAGCGTATATTTCTGTAATTGCTTACATAAAACACATATGTAAAATGTATTGTAGGCACGTTTGTGGGCACGTTTTACATATTTGAAGGTCCAATGTTGCGCAGTTTTCAAATTTTATCATAGCAAACTTGTATATAACGTAGAGCCAATTCTAAGTGGCCATGCTGTCCCTTTAGCCTTCAGGACCGTTTGTGCTCAGCTATTGTTCTCAATTGAAGAACGAAAATTATTTTCACGTCCAGGACAGACCAGGATATGTATATGTACGCATATATCGGATGGATATACCAGTTTTATTAAGATTCTATTAACGAAATAAATTCGACTAAATTCGTACTAATAAAAGCAAATATATTCGTACTATAATAGAAGCAAGTTGGTAGTACAAAATTTTTATTTTGGACAGAAGAAATATGCTTCTAAAGAAGAAACATGTTATGGAAAAAGATATTAGATACGTGATTGTACGTAATTTTTATTATTGTTACTTGATAATGGTAACAATGAAGAATGGTAACAATTCATTGTAAATATTTCGAGTCTATTATCGATTTCTTTTTTCTCTAAAATTTTAAAAATTGTGTGGATTGCTTATTATTCCTCTATGTATCTACATACACACTTGTGACATACATATGCACTTTTAAGCATTTTACACATTAACTCGTTATTTTTACAAATTTTCTACTTTATTGAAAAAAGTAGCAAATAAATAAAATTATCATCTTTCTTCAATGAGATGTTGAAAGAGTTCGATTCCATTTTATACTTAAATGAAAGTTATACTTTGTGTTTGCAATCGTTTTGTTATAGCGAGTTTTTGAACTTTACTGGCCTTGTTATCCACCCAATTATGTTGCGTTTTATATTATTTTATTAATTATAATTAAGCTTTAGTACCTATCCATAAATAGTATAAAACTTTCGTGATTGACCTATGTGTGATATCATGATATTTTTAATAACAAGCATAATCAAGCAAATGAATCTGCGATCCAGAAAGAACGTTAAAATATATAGAATGGAATTGTGTACAGGAAACATTACAGAGACGCATATGTTGTGGACACATTTAACATATATGAATAATAGATCTATATGTTAATTCTATCTAAATTAGTTCCATTTTCCTATGTACAAGTATAAATAAGGCTGATAAACTGTAAATAAGAATTCCGAATGTGTCGTTGATCGGTTATTATTACCGATTGAAGAAATCACCGTTTTTCTTTTCCTTTTTTTGTGAATTGTTCATTGTTCATTCATGTTGTATATCTAGTTGCAACTCGTGCGCTATTAATTAAATACACTAAAGAGTTTTCGATGCTCCTGCCTATTGATGCGAGTTGCAATATCAGTAAGATTTAGAATTGTAGTTTATAAATGACGTTCTAATGTCCAAGCAGTCTTTTCACCCTTTTTTGAATGTAAATTCGTATTTTAAAATATGAGGACAAAGCATTGTATCCATGATATTCTTCAAAGCAACAATGTTCATGTAGACTTAAATCAAAGAATATAATTTATATTATTTTATGAGCTTGATGACTTAGCCGGAGCTAACATAAGTTGCGTATGTATTTATTCGAAATCGAGACTTATCTTTGAACGATGCTTTGTACAAATGAGAATTATGAAATTACAAGAAAAAGGGGGATTATCTGCTTATAGTTCTTATGTGTATATAAATCATGTTCACTGTAAAAAACAAAAAAAATGGTCGTTAACTCGTTTTTATGTCATTGACATTGATGTCAAGCGTTTTAAGGTAGATTGTCACTCTATTTTTGTTTCCTTCAATTAGGATTATGATATATAAATGTACAATATTAAGGAAAGCTTAAGATATAAACTATGCTCATTTTTATGGTTAAGAGGATTCGACTATCCTTGCCTCATGATTGCTCGACGTTGATAAGGATCCAAACTTTTTTACATACTATCATACTGTTAGTAAAAGATACAAATGATCCTATGGCGTGCAAGTGACGTATAATTCGCGTTTTATTATGGGGGGAAGGGAGATGTTTAGTTAAGCGAATGGCAGACTTTCCAATGTGTCATGATCATTATAGTACAAACAGCAAGTTTAAAGTGTCTGTGTTTAGTGTCACTTTTGATCCCTTGAAATCTATCAAGTAAATTGTTCATATGTTTTATGATCCTTGGCGATGCATTTCGAGTTTAGCTACCGTAATCATGTTTCGTATGTCTCAAAAAAGTATACGTAGAAATGATATTTCTACAATTAATTGTTATTACAAATTGATTAAGATATATAGTATCTATGATATCTTGTTAATTAAAAATATTATACATATATATATATATGATTTTTATGTGTTTCTTGAAGCCTTATAATAAGATAACAATACTTAATTCGTATCTGTATAAACATTCATCGATGGCAATGATATTGTTCAGTATGAAAAAAAGAAAAGATTAGAAACCTGTCTCGTCAACTAGAAATCAAAATCTGTACTCGATCAAAAAATATGCTATAAAATGAATGAATGTGACACAAACAGATGGCACTACAGAATTCGCTAAACATTTAATCTTATAATATTGTAAATACTACTTTTATTATATTTTATACTCTGCTGTTTGCACATAAGTGATTTTTACAATTTCTTTCTGTAAGTTAACGCAAGCACAATTGAACATAATTGTGTTGTACATTCTTCTTGTACGTTTCTATACATGTATCTTTACAAGTAAAATGACAATTTTCGAATGATTGTACGGTCAAATTACAATATTGATTTTGCATCTACACACACATTCTGTATAACAAGCAATGTTTAAAAACCTTTATGTAAAGCGATCGTCTCTTCGTGATCTTGATTGTTGAAAAAAAAATGGAAACGAAGATATGAAACAGTTTACCATGTACTCGTTTTCCGTTTAAAAGAGAAAGAAAGGAAAAAAGGAAGTAAAACTTTATGATGACAGTATTACGCTTTTGCGTAAGGTAACCGCATAGTAATATATTAATCATTATCTTTTAGGAATAACTGAAAACAAACAATTCAAATTAAAATCTTTATCATGCAATATGTGAGTCGTTTTCTATTGTCAGATTATCAGATATATAAATAAATATACATATATATATATATATGTATATATATATATATATATATATATATATATGTATATATAAATATATATATTTTCAAGCTTGCACAAATGTACTTTCACACAAAGGCTGGAAATATCGGTTCCTAATCCTCTTGTAATTTCACCGTGAAATGAAATAAAAACGACACATATATTCGCATTCGTATTGCGTGTACAGAATGAATTATCGAGCAAGCATCGTTGTACAGGCTATTTTAACTTTTAATCTCGGTGCTCTCGAGTACTTGTCGAACACTGAGTGAATTTCATTGTAGCTGTTAAGGTACCTGCGAATGTAATTCGCATTTTATGAGCTTCTTTGAAGAGAAATGCACCTCCGAATTATTTTATACTGCACTTTGCGCACAGAGAAAGAACATAACAATACATAATAAAACAATTGTATAATTTTTTAATTACAATCATTGTATGTCTTTATTAAATACTTTTAAGATTCACGTGCCCTGAATGATTTTGTATCCATTTTTTTATGTACATATATTTATCTCTCTGTTGGAATATGTTAATATCGATGAATGATAATCAAGCAAAGCAAAGTGTTGAAACTTGTAATGTTGGAGGTGTATAGCTCTTCGTAGATTGCCAAAGAACGATAGAAAATATAACTGAATTCCGTTCCTCTGTTCTTCCAAACTGAGAGAAAAAAATTGATATTACTGTGCACGATGAGGTAATTCATGCAGAAATTTATAAAAATGTTTACAGTCAGTGTTGCTCAGTGCAGTATAGAAGTTGAAACGAAGGGATCTAAAGACAAAAGTTTTACCATGTATTTACAAAACGCTAATTAATTCGAGGGACTAGTTCTCCATTCTCTAATGAAACGAAATGTAAAATGCAATTAAATATTTTTTTCTCTTTTTTTTTCTATGCAATTGGTGTTAAAATTGTACATGCAAATGGATTAGGCTCTTACAGTAATTATTTCCTCATTTCCATTTCCAAAATATATTGAACATGAATTTATAAAAAAAAAAAAAGAAAAAATGCATATATTGAGAAACGTAAATAATGAAATGAAAAAGGCAGAAATATTATAACGATTGGGATCATGTATAACTTGTGTCAAGACTGAATTATCAAGACTTCGTAGGAGGTGGAACATTTTTGTAAATAGTAACTGCCTGAAAGAAATATATGTAGAAATTATATGAAAGAATTACAAAGATTGCAACCCTTATTTAAATATGTATTTTAACCCTAAATATCCTGTCTGTTTCATAGAGTCGATATGCGTTCGTCGATATATTTAATTGTTTCAATGAAGAAAAAGTATATACAGAGTAAGATAATAAAATATTTAAAATTATGAGTTTATATTTATTGCACAACAGGATCTTAAAATAACTGCAACTGACCGCCCTGAAAAAAGTGACAGTATTACAGATCTTGTTTCACTTGTCGGAGAAACAGTTCACAGTTCTTGGTGTTTTCCTGCTGAACTGTGATCATTCCCCTGCTTTTCAACACGTTATTATTTATCCCCATAGAATTCTCAAACATCCTCTTCTTACTTCTTTTTCTTTTTCTTAGCATTCATCTAAGAAACGATCGTTCTGCTAAGCATACATCAGGATTCGTTTGAATCATACGTGAATCGAAAAACAACGGTGTTTCCAACGGTGTGTGTGTGTGTGTGTGTACAATGTATACTTACATTACACAAACGAATGAAGCGTATATGTTCATTTCGGTGAGGCCTGTTTTGCCCACAATTTATCCTCTACGAGATGAGAAATAAAGAAAGAAGAAAACAACAAAATCACGATCGATAACAAGGACTCGTATTCTTTTGTATCGCTACTGAAAAGTTGCAACTATACCCTTAATTTAAACACGTCGATCGAGCGAAAGTTCGAATCGAATCCCCAATCGAATGTCTCGACGATGAAAGCATCGAATAAGTTCAAATCGAGAGATAGAACGCAGGTCTCACTTTCCATGATCGATCAACGGTTACGTTTCTTTTTGCTTTTGTATATCGATTAATTGTATATCGACGTTCTCTCTAGTCAAGTTTCGAAGGTATCGGACATAAATGATAGTCACAAATGGTTTTTCTCTTTTTTTTTTTTTTTTGACATCACGCACCTCTTTATTCTACTCGACGATGCAGCTTATGAAAAAATTCGAGATTCGTGTCAATAAATAATATGAGTGACATACACGCGGATGATATTAATTTGTACCTGTGTGAGAAAATAATCGGAAAGGCACGATACTCGAGGCGATCTCAATCAAAGGCACGTATAATTGATAGACGATGATACCGAGGCAAAGTAGTCTCTTTTTTTCAGTAATGAGTAAGCACTGCAGTTTGTCTCTCAATTTTTATTCAATATATATATATGCCGTGTGTAACCGAGCTGTTCAATACGTGTACAGCGTGGATCAAGTCCCAAGCACGTAATCAAAAATATATAAATAACTCGTAATAAATAAATGTCTACGCGTGTACAACGAAAACGGGAAGAAACTCGAAGGGATCGGTAATATCCAGCTGCGGCATATAAAATGTCGCTTTGTGAATGAAATGAAATTGACGGTACGCAGTCTCTTCTCAAAAGTATATTGCACGTATATTTAATTAAAATAATTCCCACGTTTATTCGTTGTTCCAGATTTGGAACAATTATTTGGTTTCGAGAAATCGGAGAAGATTTCAAAAAAAAAAAAAAAGTGGAACCGTCACAGTTCCCCTTTTTTTTTTATATTTTGTTTTTTTTTTTCTTTTCAACGTGAGACAAAAGAAGACGAAAAATTGACGGGACTATGTTGACCCACCAACGACATTTCATATGGACCGATCTCCAAAAATTAAACGAAAGCGAGACACATCGAAGGATATCGAGGAATTTTCGTACGAGACTTATCATGAGACTCACGATCGAATCATTTTATAATAAGAGTGGTACAAATTAATAATCGCGCTATATTTTATATATATATATTTCTCTCTTGTTCATTCTTTATATCTTCTAGGTCGATATCGTTTTATATCGTTCGGTGCGTGCGAATCTGATTCGTACTGCAATGAAAATTCGCGAGATGCTGCAACGCAGTACAATCGACAGCAATAATAATAATAACAACAATAATGATAATAATCAACAACGATAATGATAATAATCATGGTTCAGAGAGGCCAATGTGCGTTTCAATCGTCCAGAGATCGCGGAATCGAACAGATCGTAAAACGTTGAAGCCTTATATTCGTTTATTAACGCAATCTATATAACGAACGATCCTTTCGGAAAGAAAGATAGAAAAATAGACGTGTGTCTCTAAATACAATACGATGATAATATCTTCTTGGCGTTTGTTTTGGAGATCGTTTCCTTTCTTTCTCTTTTCTTTCTTCAAGAAAACGATGTGCTCTTTCGTTGCCACGATTTAAACGTAACACGGAGCAAAAGCAAACTCGAACTGTTTGAACCGAATAAATCGACAGAACGCGCACGACAAAGGAAATTCAAAATTCAAAATTCTACTCCTTTGTGTATTTCCCTTTCTCTTTCATTTTCTCTTCTTTCATTCTTTCTGAAGCAAAACATCGGAACGATCCACACTATTGTCGTTTCTGTCTCGTTCTACGTGTGTCGCTATACGGATATCTTGGTCGAAGGATCGAAAGGTTAACGATTAACTCTTATCTGTAGTAAGTAATTGGTGTACGTTATTCAAATATTCAAGACTTTTCCACCCAAGTGGTTCAAGTGCGTTGCGTCCCGTGCCCCGCAGGTAAACGGAGTAAAAGTAACGCGAAAGTAACGCGAGGAAAAAAAAAAAGAAACAAGAAGATCCTTTTGTTTTACAAGAATCACGGATTCGATTCGTGCGTGAAATGGAATGGTGACGGTGTCGAGACGCGACGGATGAAAAACGAAAGAAGAAGAAGAAAAGAAGAATGATCAGACAATCGAGATCTACAGAAACGACAAGTTAAAACGTACACGAAGAGCAAATTAAATTTAATAATTAATTAAAAGTAAGAAATATAAATAAAACAAGTATAGTGAGTATGTTTGAAACAGTAGACGGCATTGAATAAATCGGTCCCGTCGTGACGCTTCCCGAAAATGCTCGATATGTACATATAGATATATGTATATACATATAAATATACGTACAACTACTTATACGTGTACATACATATATATGTGTGTGTATATATACATATATGTATATGTATATATAAATTGGGTGTTTGATTCGCGTTTATCATTTCTTCTTTTATGTATCTACAGCTAAGGGGCAGTATGTACAGGGGACCAAGGAATGCGAGATTTATCTTTTCCTCTCCGTAGCTGCTATACGACAGGCCAGCAGTGTAATCTATTCGATATAGATATCCTCTATCGGAAAAGCAGTCTCGATGAACTTCGTGTAGAACCGATGGAAAGCACGCCTACGAAAAAGAAATATATAAATGTACACTTGCTGCATATTGGTCACCAGTTTTTTTTTTTTAACAATCGCTAGAAGAATCGAAACGAACGATTGTTTTCTACGACACGGTTGTAGGAACTCAACGGATCAAATGATTCAAATTACACGATCATGGTCTACGTCAATGATGGCGAATCTATGATCCGCACGGGTCAGACACTGACACATGCAGGCTTTTTAAATGACCCGCGCGTTGATTTTTATAAATTTATCTTCATATATATATATGATATATAAAAGATATGATATATATATATATATATATATATATATATATATAAAAGAATTTCAATTATTTTTCGAAAAATGTTAAGAAAATTACAAGTGTTCGGTTAGAGCTTAGAGAAATAAATGCATAATTTTATGGAGGATTTACGACTTGGTTATGTATACATATAGGTATTTACAAGTCTTGAATGTTATGCGAGTTACTTGTGTGTCGAAAAAATTTTATATTACGCGCTTACGATTGAACAGATGTAATAAACACTAAAAAAAAAACACACTAGATCCTATTCTCCTATATAATGGACAGCTTTGCTAGGTTTTTTATATAATAAAAGAGAGAATAGACAATAAAAAACATTAAGAAATAAAGTAATATATATCTAATGTATAGTGCAGGGGTGACTGGGCATAACGTCACCCCTTTCATATCAATTTTTTCACGTCGACATTGATTTTTTGCTCTTCACTTGCAAAAGTGAAAGTTGCGAAACAAAAAGGAAACGCAAACTTTTTAGAGGATTATAAAAGTGAGAACCAAAGAAAAAAAATAGTTTTTAACTATCTTCCCCCCTTTCCAAGCGACCCACGAACTAGTACTAAAAAAAAATAACGAACAAAATTGATGACCTACTTCTCAAAAAGATTCGCCGTCACTGGTCTACGTCAATCATGATGAAAGAGTAACTATAATTTCAATTGAATTTTCGTGAAACTGATCCCTTGACCGTGATTGAATTTCTGATTCGTTTGTTACAACACTCTGCTTAATGATCTACCTCACGGCCGAAATTCTTCATCAGAGTACAGAAACGAAATGCCAAATTATCTGGCAAAAGCGAAATTATGAATGCAGAAACAAACTATAATAAACTTAGGATGCATATATAGGGATATATAATACCCGACGGCTTCGGCAACGGGCCTCGTGGATTCTTGACCAATGAACACGTGGCAAGCGAACCTTTGCAAGGTGGGATGCTTCGTGATGAAGCCGAGGTAGCGATGATCGCGAGGATGAAACGCGCAAAACGAGACGTTCTTAAGCGAGTAGAAATAATCGTGACAGGGTCCTTGATTTTTCTGCAAAGTATAACACGTAATTTATTTAAAAAAAAAAAAACAGAGAGAGAGAGAGAGAGAGATTTAAAAAAGAAGAAACAGAATCTTTAATAATACCCGTGGTTTACTCCTGTCGACCATTCGAAGACCCTGATCGGACACTTCCAAGATACAGCTTTGCGAAACGGGCGATTCTTGCGAGTTACCGACGATTCTTCGAACTGCCTGGCAGACGACGCTGGTACCTTTGTGCGCCGATGTCTCCACAGATCCCAAGTAACCTAGAAGATATCGTTCCCTCTTCACCTTCGGCGCCGAGGGATCGAAATCACTGTAATCCATGTCGACCGCGTAAGCCGAGGGGAATATACCTTGGCGACCTGTTCTCAGGTTCACACCTTCAATGCAAACACAAGTGCATTATCGTGCATCGATTATTGTTAATAAAGTGATAATTATCGACGTTCTTCGTTAACTTTAAATTTCAGGTAGCTCGATACACAGTGTACACAATCGCAAGAGGAGTTTTTTTTTTCTCTTACTCTTATACAAGATATAAGGGAAATAAGCGAGCGGACTCAACTAAACGGGAGAGTGAAATGTTCGAACCTTCGCACCACAGATCGTCAGCCTCTTTCTGAACGTAAATAGGATCGCCGATCTCAAGATCGATCTCGTCGTGGTGTCTCGGCACGAATTTATGCAGCCCACGGTGCGTCGCTTCCAGCAACTCCAGCTGAGTGAACGGCACGCCGCCGCTTCCTTTTGCACGGGAACAAATGAAATTCTAATTACAGCGTACCACTTGAATGATATAAAAACTGATTACGAGACTGAATATACAGAAATATAAAACTAGCGTGATGATATCAAACTCTAATATCAAAGAACTCTAACGAAGGGGATAACATTTTGTTTCAATTCACCTGGTGTGCTACTTGGCGAGACAGAGTCGGTGTTCTGCAGCGTGTTACAGGGGATCGGCGAGACGCTTTTCGGCCCGTTTTCCGGCGAGTGGGCAGTAGAGTGGCCACTGTCAGTGGCCATTCGCTCGCTGTCGGGTGAACTGTCCTCGTGGCGAAGCCTCGAGTGACATTTCCGTAAAACTAAATGCGGCCGGCTGGAACTGGAGCCAGTTGCTGCGTTCAGTTCGTCCGCCAGAGACGACGACGACTGCATCGATGTCTGACCGACCGGCAGAGCTGCGAAACAGATAGATATCCCATTGAAACGAGCGACGAGCTTATACCGAGTAACTTGACACAGCTTGAAAACTAGAGTAGCAACAGTGGTAGCCACCTTCTTCCGGGATGATCAGGTAATACTTCAAACCGTGGGAATTCAACATTGTTTCAACGACGACGTGAGGTGATCAGAACGCGTCCGAGTATCGGTAGAAATCGGTAACTGATCACATGTGAATAAGCCTCTGCACGTATGTCACGCAGCGTGATGTAAGTTTGATGTAATTATGGATTTTCTTTCGTTGCGGTCGTAGATTTTGCGGTCGCGGATGCGTGGTATCGTCAGGATCGGTGTGTGTCGAGGCAGGTGACGAAAGAAACGCGCACGATAAGGTCTGATTCGCGATCGTATTACGCGCTTAGGGTCACGCTGTCAAGGAAATATTAATAATTCTTCTCCTCGCTGTAAAAGGAACATATACTGAAACAGATCTTACTGTACCGTGATCCGTTGTAGCCTATTCGTTTCGTTTGGGAAAGAAATACAACGAAGAAAGCTAGCTAGTGTCTGACAAGCTATCGTCACTTATTGTAGCTCTATGATACACATTAGGGAGGATTTAGGCGAATTCTTGAAACGAGATGCGCGTGTTGCGAAGAACGTTCCTAAATTGCTGCTTGTGATTGCAATTTTTGTGAACGTAACAAAATCGCGCGAATGTATCGTCGGTTGTCCATTGTTCTTTCCAATGCACGTAAAAGGAATCAACTGTGTTCATCTTTTAACGACGAATTCCGTGAACGATGCGTCGTCGCAACGCACGTTTTAACGTTCGGCGTGCATCGATGGGTGATAGAATGCCTATATAGGGGGTAAACATATATTGTATATCGATATTTACAGTTGAAATTTCTTACATTTCTTCGTTTTCGGGATTTCCGGCAATCTCCGACGTCTGCGTTCGGTGCTGCCGCTCCCGGGACGATTCGTGGGCACATGTTCCGGTGTTGGCCAGGAGCTCAGACTCGAGCAGGAATCCCCGACGTCGCTGACTACGCTATCTCTACCACCGTTACCGGAACCGGTAGTGCTACCTCCACCAGGACCAGGCCCACCGACGCCTGCTGATCGACCCCTGCTGCTCAGTCCACCGAACAAGCTAATGTCACCCAAGGGTAGTCGTGTAGTGAGCTAAGCTACCTTTCACCATGCCATTTAAAGTGTGTTTAAATTTTACTTTCTCTCTCTCTCTCTCTCTCTCTCTCTCTCTCTCTTTTTAATTGCAAGTAGATTTCCTGCGAGCGCTCCTAAGAAATTAGAATTGAGAACGGATCACGAAAATTTTGTACAACAAATGTACAATGTTGTTTGTGTGTGACACACGAATGTATCAATCAAGAGGGAGATCTTTCTTCTTATCGTGAAATGGAAATTTTATCGATCGATGCAATTTATTTTAATCGTGTTCGGTGTTAGAGATGTGTACAGGGTGTTTCGTAACATGCGGGACCCACTTCGGAAGCTGATCGTACGCCTAAAAAAGTAATGAAAAAAAGTCGTACGAATATGTGTCCTATCTGTCTTCGTTTATGAGATATAATTAATTTTCTGTTTTAATTGCTTTTACAAAAGATGCTCGAAATGACCACGTTGCATTTGAAAACAAGCACGCGTCTTGTCATTCCTGATGTTTCTCGAATTTGTCGGAAGCTCTTGCTGTATTTTATTTCGTAGTATTTCAGCATGTTCAATCGATGTTGCGTATACAATAGATTTTCTTTCATTTGGCTATTTGAAGATTCAGCAAATTTCGCAATACTCTTTAAAATCAGTTCAGTTCTTACTAATAATCGTACTTTATTGAAAAAAAGTAGCAAATAAATAAAATTATCATCTTTCTTCAATGAGATGTTGAAAGAGTTTGATTCCATTTTATACTTAAATGAAAGTTATACTTTTTGTTTGCAATCGTTTTGTTATAGCGAGTTTTTGAACTTTACTGGCCTTGTTATCCACCCAATTATGTTGCGTTTTATATTATTTTATTAATTATAATTAAGCTTTAGTACCTATCCATAAATAGTATAAAACTTTCGTGATTGACCTATGTGTGATATCATGATATTTTTAATAACAAGCATAATCAAGCAAATGAATCTACGATCCAGAAAGAACGTTAAAATATATAGAATGGAATTGTGTACAGGAAACATTACAGAGACGCATATGTTGTGGACACATTTAACATATATGAATAATAGATCTATATGTTAATTCTATCTAAATTAGTTCCATTTTCCTATGTACAAGTATAAATAAGGCTGATAAACTGTAAATAAGAATTCCGAATGTGTCGTTGATCGGTTATTATTACCGATTGAAGAAATCACCGTTTTTCTTTTTCTTTTTTTGTGAATTGTTCATTGTTCATTCATGTTGTATATCTAGTTGCAACTCGTGCGCTATTAATTAAATACACTAAAGNGAATGGCAGACTTTCCAATGTGTCATGATCATTATAGTACAAACAGCAAGTTTAAAGTGTCTGTGTTTAGTGTCACTTTTGGTCCCTTGAAATCTATCAAGTAAATTGTTCATATGTTTTATGATCCTTGGCGATGCATTTCGAGTTTAGCTATAATAATAATAATAATAGTAATATACTAATAATATTCGCTCCATTATCACTTCAAACACGATCTTATACGACATGTATTACGATTATTAGTAAGAACTGAACTGATTTAGAGAGTATTGCGAAATTTGCTGAATCTTCAAATAGTCAAATGAAAGAAAATTTATAGTATACGCAACATCGATTGAACATGCTGAAATACTACGAAATAGAATAGAACAAGGCTTCCGACAAATTCGAGAAACACCAGGAATAATAGAAGGTGGTCATTTCGAGCATCTTTTGTAAAAGTAATTAAAACAGAAAATTAATTATATCTCATAAACGAAGACAGATAGGACATATATTTATATGACTTTTTTCATTATTTTTAGGCATAGAATCAGCTCTCGAAGCTCTGGATCCCGCGAAACACCCTGTATAATCTGTTCTCAATCTTTTTTTTTTTCTTTTTTTTGAACGAAAGAGAGAGTTTCACTTCTTCTGGAGATGCAAGGGGATACACATACATACAATACTGGAACATACCGCTAAGGGTTACTATCCTAATCGTAACTTCACGTGCAAACCTGCCTTTACCGTAATGAATTTATAAAAGTGAAAGAATATCGATAACTTCCTTTTTTTAGAATAACGAGCACTTAAAAATAATTATAACCTTGTCGCATCTACAGAGAGGGAGTGTTGAAAATATTTGAATTAACAGGTAAACGAATACTCCTTGCATGCAATGGTTACAAGAAGGGAGCACATGGATGCAGGAGCAGATTTTAATTTAAACAAGCCATCTAAATTGTTCGATATTAACAGTATAAATTGAATGGAGCATGACAAACAGCGACGTTATATATATACTGTTAAAAATAATTAGAGGCTTGCCTACTCATTTCGAAAATTACAATTAACTAAAATTCCGCCTATTTTTTTTTTTTTTTTTTTTGAGTAAGAAGTCCTCTGATTATTTCGAACAAAATTCAAAGCGAGTCGATTTCAAATTGCCATCTAAATTTATATATCCACATCCAGTATCGTTGTGCAACATTTCAGAGAAAAATTTCCAGCTCGGACAAACACGGTTGCACAGTTTTTTCTATGAATTTGTCAATTTTTAATTCGTAAAATCTATGTTTTTTCCAAGCCAAAAAAAAAAAAAAAGACAAAAAGAAGTGGTATGTGCACTTACGATGTTACCAACCTAAAGTCACTATCGGCTACGATGGAACAGTTGTGATCGAGATCTTCGCTGTCGTCCCCGGAAGTATGTCCGCTCTGGTTGTCGTGCCGATGAATGACCACCACCTCCTCGTCCTCGGAATCGGCGGCGACTCCATCGCAAGATCTCTCGACCTCCGCGTCGCTATCCTGCGACGAGGTCGGCGAATCGTCTATCATCACATCGTGAACGAGCCTATTTTCAACAAGAATTTAATTCGCAGAAATTAATCGGTTGAAACTCTCAAGGTGAGTCCAAGTGGCTTCACAGTCGAGTGCGACTAGCAGAGACAAAGAATTGAATAATTTACTATAATTAATAATTTACTATCTTCCAGGCATACAACGAGCGAAACACGAAGGAATTTTAAACGAAGGGCCTACGCACGTTTGGAAATTTTATTTCTGTACGTACCAGAGAATCGACAATTTTACACACTCATCTGCATAAATATAAAATTCATTCAGATCGATCGATTGTCACTAGAATTAGAATGTTTTGCAAAGTAAATTGCATTTCCTCTCCTGGAATTGAAAGGTACACTTCCGTTTCCACGGGATAAATAAGATCTCGCACGTAAATGTCAGAATCAATTGAGATTTTCCCAACAAGATCAACGTGTCGTGCTTCGATACGTCTTCTGTTAAGGTATTATCCATTCAAAAGACAAGTGAAACAAAGTTGACACGGTAGAACTTTCGAGGAATGTCTGACGGCTAAGGAACACTTGGATACTAATCGACCAACAGGTAAACGTTAATCTTACGAGTAGCATATATATATATATATATAAAATATTATATTTATATTTATATATTTATATAATTATAATATTATTTATATTTTTATTTACATATTTATATAATTATTATTTATATTTATATATTATTTATTTAATTATAATATTATTTATATTTATATTTATGTTTACATATTTATATAATTATAATATTATTTATATTTATATATTATTTATTTAATTATAATATTATTTATATTTATAATTATGTTTACATTTATATTTAGTTATATTTATATTTATATTTACATTTATATAATTATAATATTATTTATATTTATATTTACATATTTATATAATTCTAATATTTATATATATATATATATATATATATATATATATATGCAGGTATTTTTCTCAATGATCATATATTTGTCCAAAATTATTACATATTCTATTTTTTTATAACATGAAAACATATAACAGCGATTCGTGAATGATTATTTTCACTGTATCACGAAAAACGGAAAGGATGTTTCGCGGTCTTAAATCGCCGTTTCTATTTACGAGCCTCGAAACTTACAAGCAGCAAAGAAACGGGGACAAAAGATTAGATAATTAACGATAAAAATTGAGGCGCGATTCCGGTCCATTAATAGCGCGTGCTTGTTTTGTTTGAAAGCCAAGTAATCGTGACTGGCGGCTAAAGTGGAAGTTTCACGTACGTGGCAGACTCGAATCGATTTTATTTTCACTCTTTGTTAACGTTGACCGCGCGTCAAATAAATAAAATTTTCACACGCACGTTGGACTTCTAAGTTTCACCTGCGCGAAACATCGTTCGAATTTAGGTCGAGTTCAGGAGGAACAGAGAAGATCATTTCCGTAATCGTTTGTGCATTTACGTAACGTAATTAACTTTGCTATTGCCCCGTGATGTAAATTAAATAAAATCAAATTAACAAAACAACATTCGACGTGTGTTGAAGTTAATATAATTCGATAGAATCATGATATCGGTTTAACAGAATATTGAACTTTCTGTAGCGTATTGATCAACTGTCAAAATGATAATATTTGTCAAGCGTTTTACAAAGGCCGCATTCTTCCGCATTTAATTTATTTCACAACATCGGCCTATCATTTTTCGATACACCTATGCCTTGCCCCTTGAATTTTCTTCCAGATGTGTGATTTACTGGGTTAATGCGACCCTAAGTGATGAAATCGCAACGCCAGTCAACTCGAACTTCATTAACAGTTACAGATACAATGTTGCAGATACAAAAACGCAACATTGACATTCTTTCGCAACAGATTGAAATCTTGCAGCCAGTCGTACAAAGCTACGTCAGATTCGATTAATAAAAAGTATCTCCACGAGTATCTCTACATGCAAGAGAAAGTAACGATTTCATCGCAAGTTGAACCAAGAGGACTGCTTCCCATTTCATCGTAATCACAATCCGTAATGTACAACGTTTGCCATACCATATCGCTACAATCGACATCACTCACATCGTTCACATGGAATATCGCCAATTAAATTCATTTCGTAAAACTGTACTCGCTATTCCTTCCTGCGGTTCATTGCGGGTGTCGAGCTTGGAAGAAAAAAAAAAAGAAACAATCATCCGCTGCTACTATACTGTGTCAGAAGTATCATCACAGTGTGTCGATATAACGCTCGCCTCTGGCCGAGAACGTTTGCGTCAAAGATCGTCCCAATTCGCTCGTCGTGCCGAAAGTCTCATCTACGATCCAAAATCTACGTGCTTTTCAACGAGACGAGGGGGGAGGAGGGGGAAAGAGAGAGAGAGAGAGAGAGAGAGAGAGAGAGAGAGAGAGAGAGGGATGAAAGGAGAAAACGAATAAACATCACTCTGCACAAATGGGCACGTCCCATTTATTTCGTGCGTTCCACGAAAAAAAAAACGTATTTCCACCCTTTCGTACGAGAAACGTCAGAAACATCGTGCACGTTGCGCGTTAAGGAAGGGACAATGCACAATTGCAAAAAAAAAAAAAAAAAAACGCGTGTACTCACGTGTAATTGGAAAGTGGTGCCTTGAGATGCTGCGGAAGCCTCTCGAAGTAGTGTCGAAATTCCTCGAACTCGGTGTCGGCCATTCTGCGACGGACAGCGGGTAACAGACGTGGCGTGGGGTCGGTCCTGAAGGCGGCCGTGACGGCCTGGACGAGGAGAGCTGCTCGTCGACCCCTGGAAAACTTCGTTCGGGGGCGAAGATGTCGCTGACGTTGGGGGACGACGGTCGGGTCGAGCCGCCACCGCTTCGACGCCGCTCGCGACGCCCTATTGATTCCTGCGTGGTGAGCGTCGCGCACACCCCCGCGTGCATTCGATGATCTCGTCGTGGACTCGCCGCGCCGCCAGGAAATCGAACGAGAGAAGCCAGCCAGCCAGCCGAGGGCGAAATAATCGAGCCTTGGCCAGCCGTCGTTTTGCGGCGATTTAATATTTCAATCGGGGCCGAGACCGAGATCATCCGCGTCGGCCACCTCGCCGGAACGCGCAGAACCGAAAATATCGACACACCGCGTACACACACCTGATCGAGATCCAGCGGCCAGTTTTTTTTTTTTCTTTTTTCCTTTTTTTTTTCTCACTTCGAATAGGAGAGGGCAAACCTCCTGGAAGTCCCTTTGACGAAGAGGAGCGGAGAATTTGCTACCGCGTTAACGAGAAATCTTCTAACGCGTTCCACGTTTCTACGATGAATTGTAGGAGGAATTGTAGGGTTCGGCGTCGCATCGACTACGAGGTCTTTAACGACGTGTTGAAATTGACTCTTTATATCTGGTCTAGTAGGTTGGGTCTCCTTTAGGTAGTTGATAAAACGGGTTTTTGTTGTTTCTGGCAGGTTAGAGCGGTGTTTTCGTTTAATACGTATTTACTTCTTATACTTTCGGTATTCTCTGCATTCATGTAGCAGGTACTGGGTGGTGATTTGTTAGCTGCAGGTGTTGCAGAAAGGTGGTTCTGTTTTGCTTAGGAGGTACTCGTGTGTGATCTTGGAGTGTCCGATTCGAAGCCTAGTCATAGTAGCTATTCTTTCTTCTCTTAGATTGTTGTTGGGTATTTTTTGATAGAAATGGTGTGCTATGCCGTGTATCAAACGTGTAAATAATAACTATCCAAATGTAATTTGGATAGTTATTTTTCATAAAAATGTGACAGGAACACGTACTTTGGGAAAAGATCATATATCATTTCAAACATGTAAATAATAACTATCCAAACATAATTTGAATATTTATTTTCTAAAAAATGTGACAGGAACACGTTTTTTTGGGAAAAAGATCATACATCATTTCAAACATGTAAATAATAACTATCCAAACATAATTTATGGGAAAAAGAAAAAAAAAGAAACAAAATTTGATCATTTGCTAACTATAGAATTATTATAAATGTCGAAAGACGCTATTAGCATCTTTTAAATGTGTTGTCTGCTGTGTATACCAAAGTAGAAATATATATATTTTTCTTTTTTCTGATTAACATTTCAGGTAGGATCTGGGCGTGAATGTTATTCACATCGAGTCGCGATCTTGGAGTGTCCGATTCGAAGCCTAGTCATAGCCTAGTCATAGTCATTTCTTTTCTGCTTAGATTGTTGTTGGGTATTTTTTGATAGAAATGGTGTGCTATGCCGTGTATTTTGGTTCTATTTGTCGTAGTCCAAATTCTGTTCCATTCTTCTCTTTCCGCTTTGGTCGTTGAAGCTAGTAGGTCTTGGTGTGGGATTGGGATGTTGGTTTCTTTTGTTTGGTCGATTGTTGCTTCTTTGGCTAGGAAGTCGGCTTTTTCGTTTCCTTCAATTCCTTGGTGTGACGGGAGTGTTTCTTGGGTTTGCCTCCAGAGTTACAGGTCGTTTTATTGAAGATGTAAGCGGTCGGAGTTGATTAATTTGTTTTTTCTTTTTTATTTTTCTCTCAATACGACGAGAAATTTGTTTCTCTTCGAAGTTCGACAACTAGATATCTCCCTTCTTCGCTAGTAACTCTCTTTCTTATCGCAAGGACAGACCGAGTAGTAAAGGACAATTGAAGTGTTTATTTATCATATATAGAAGTTACTTTTAAATAAAAGTCAGTAGCAAACGAGAGAAATGAGACGATGCATTAATGTCAATTCTTAACATGATAAAGGGTTCCTTATTTGTAAAGTTCAGTCCATTTAGAAAATTAAGGAGACCGTTGTCTAGAAATAACCGACCTTTGGACGAGCAGAGTGGTGGCAAAAATCGAGAGCATCAATTCCATAGCAAACACCGGAAGAAAACTCTCTACGTGCCCTACATAATCGAATGCTTATTCCCAAGTGCAATATAAATCGTTGCGTTTTTATCGGAAGTTCTTTCGTTTAGGATACACGGTACAGACGGAAGTATTAGACTTAACGAGAATGAACTATAATTGGGAAAGATAGCCGATACAAAACGAGTCACGAGGAGTAATTAACGCTGGTTAATCGAGTTAAAGAAGTTGCGAGCGCTTGAAGTTTACACGCAGTGACCTTGCGTCTCCTCACCATCTGCTGAAACGAAATTCTCAACGTTCGTTGATTTCGTTATCTAATTATGCAAAACACAATCCACCAAGGAAACACCATGACGACTTGCATTGGGCCCGCGCCAAAAATTAAATTGGCTGGGTAAATCTGTTCTACTGTTTAACTGCGTCGTTTTCAATCTATTTGAGCTATAAAGTGCTCCCCATCGAGCCTTGATTTTTATTAGCCTCATTGTGCAACCAACTTCTTTCCTTTCGAATCATCCGTGCTGAAAGTACGGTCCAAGAGGATCTGCCTGTCTGCAAACAGCCGACACTCGTCGTTCTCTTCTTACTTAGCTCTCTATCTTTCACTAATCGATTAAATCGTTTGAAGTGGTCCCCGATCCTGTATCAGGACATCGGAGAAGAAGAACCATGAGGAAAGTAGGAACTCGATTTAACTCGAACATTCGAGAGCAACTGGTAATTCTTTTCAAACAAATTTCACGTCGATTTCTAATTTCTAAATCTTTCCGATTCGTTCAATTTTAAATTCCAAAACAACCGAGATGGCGGGGAAAACGAATTGAATTCAACAAACTCGAAACTACATCGTTCCTTCTTCTTTTTCTTTTCGCGATTCAGCGTTTCATCAGAAAGTGGTCCAGGGTTAAAGAGACTGGTTTTGATGATTAACCCTCCGTAAGCAAACTAACCCAAGCGAAACTTCACCCTTGAATTTCTACGAGAAGAATTTTCACTTTTAGCGGGGATTTTAATCGTTTCGAAAACGTTTGATTATAATATATACATATGATTGCAATGTGATGTAGTATTTGATGTATATTTCACAAGTTTCTTTTTTCTTCAAACTCTATAAAAGCCTAGAACAGTAAAAAGATTGAACGTAGGTAATTTTTAAATCTTTCCGATTCGTTCAATTTTAAATGCTGAAGCAAACGAATTGAATTCAACAAACTCGAAACTACATCGTTCCTTCTTTTTCTTTTCGCGATTCAGCGTTTCATCAGAAAGTGGTCCAGGGTTAAAG